AATATGTATATCACTTTCATTAATAAATTTGTCATTTAATTTTTCTACTAATCTTTCTGTTGCAAGTTTGGAAAGTTTTAATTTTTCTGCTTCTTTGTGATCTTGTGAATCCTTGTGACATTTTATTGCTGATTTTCTATTTTTATTTTTTGAACCTAATTGAATGTCAAAATTTTAATAATACTATATATTAAATATTAGAAATAATTCTATTACAAATCTTCTTGGGCAAATTGATTTTTTCTTTTATGTTGAATACAAATTGTACAAATAATTCATTTATGGATATGGTCATAATGAAGCCATTTATATTCAGATAACCACTTTTGTTTGAAACTATTGATCTTTATTCAATTAATTTTCATTTTCATTTTCATAATTCAATTCAGCATCAAAAATACTATTATTAGAATTTTCTTCTGGATTTAATAAATTGAAATATCAAAATAGTTAATTTTTTACTTTATACAAAGAAAGAAGGCATTGGAAGAATTGATACTTATAGAACATACATTGAGCCTCTTGAGCTACTTCTAAATCCATACTCAAATAAACTCATTCTTTATAATCATTAAAAAAAATATATTTTTACGTTACACCATATCCGTTTTTTTTTCATGAAAATGACAGTAAAATTTATTGCTTCCGGAATTTATTAGTGAATATGAAAATGAAGACCTTTTTTTTCTATTGCATTTTTGAACGAATCATGAAATTGCAATTTGAGAGCACGTGGCGCAGCAATAGGAGTCTTTTAGACCGAGCCAACCATATTAAATGCGTGTAACGCCGACCTATCCATAAAAGGATCTTTAACTGTAGTGAGTGAGTGGTAGTTCAAATTTTCAATCAGACGATCTATTATGCAAGATTAACCAACCTTTTACACTTTCCAAAATGTCAGATGTCAACCAACAACAACTTCAATCTTTGGTGTTATCAGCAGAATTAAATTCTGAAAATGAAAATCTTGAACAATTAGGTCCAATAATTAAATCTATATATGATACTGGCACGCAAGAAGCTTTCTTGGACCAATTATCAATTTTTGTAAGGAAGAAAGAAGGTGAAATAGAGAGAATGTGCAATAGCAATTATCAGGTGTGATACTAAAGAAAAAAAATTTCCTTTTTGAATATAATCGTAAAGATTAAAAATTTATTTAAATTTAAAAATAGGAATTTGTTCAATCTGTGGATCAATTATTAAAGGTAAGGCAAGGAACGGTTAATCTTAAAAACAAAATCATCCATTTAAATGATGACCTTCACAATTCAGGAATAAAAGTAGCAGCAAAGGTTTGTAAAATTCCAAGTTTAGTAATAATAATTATGTACAAATAAGGTGAAATAATTAATCTATTAATTATTATTAATCTGTTAGAAAAAAGAACTTATTCAAACCAGAAGAATTCAAAAAAATATTGATGAAGCAGTTGAGACACTTCAATTATGTTTACATATTCTTGATCTTGCTAATAGAGTCACTCATTTAATTGAAAGCAAAAAATATTATTCAGCTTTGAGAGTAACTATTTCTTTTTTGAAGATCCATTTGCTACGATTTTTTGTTTTTTTTTTTCAAAAAAAAAAAAAAAAGAAATTATATAAATATTCTTTATTTAGACACTAGAAGAATTACAAAATGTTCATCTAAGAAAAGTGATACAATATGAATTTGCTAAACATATGCGTATGTAATATGTAATTAGTTGATTGTGGTTAAAATACTCTATTATTATTACTAATTTTTTATAACAATAGAGGAATCTATACCTGCAATGCAAAATAATGTTAAAGATGCAGTGACCAAGGAAATGAAAGAATGGTTATTTAAGTATGATAATTATCATTATTATGTGGAAATAGTTATATGGTAAAGGCATTTTATTAAAAAAAATCAATTTACATTCTTTTTATATTTAGAGTAAGACAAGATTCTAGACAAGTTGGAAAAATTGCAATGGAACAAATGAGACTACGTCAAGAGCGTTGGTCTAATAAATTAGCTCAAAATCCAAATTTACGCGTTGTTCCTGTAAGTTCACCTATAGAAGTAGTTATGAATGAAGAAAATGAATGTATGTTGTTTTATCTTCAACAAATATTTAATATAATATATATATTATATTAAAATTGTTATTAATTTGATTTTTTTTCTTCATTATGTAGTCAATATAATAAATAATGATCATGTCCAGATTGATTTTAAACCATTATATCAATGTTTACATATTTATGAGGAACTTGGAAAAAGAAATGAATTCAAAACCAATTATGAAGAAGATAGAAAGGTAATAATATATAAGCAAAAATTCTAAAAAACTAAATAAAATCATGATCATAATTTTCTTTCATACAAAATTTTAAAGGCACAAGCAAACTTGGTCCTATCGCAGTCCTTTTCCTTGAAAGCAGGTCGAGATAATGGTGGATTTGAAGCCTTTCTTCAAGATGTAATTGGATTTTTTATAATAGAACGTACAATTGTATATTCTACACAAAATTTCCGATCTCAAACAGATGTTGATAATTTGTGGAATACAGTAATGATTAAAGTTGTGAAAATTGTTTCAGATAGTTTAGGTGATTGCCATGATCCAGATTTATTTTTAAGAATTAAACTTGCTTTATTTACTTTCATCCAAACTCTTGAGGTACTTTTTTACAATTTATAATTATTGATTCATTTTATATAACAATAATAGTAAATTTATTTATCTAATTAGGATTATGAATATAATGTTCTTAGCTTTACTGATTTGGTTCTTACTGTTTTCCAAAGATATTCTGATTTGCTTAAACATAAATTTTCTAAAGATTTTCAACAAGTAATAATAATCAAAATTCTCATAAATGAAATATTTATGAAATAAAAATTAATAATACATTTATAAAAATTTATAGACACTTCTTATTGATGATTATATGCCAATGCAAATCACTAATCCAGAAGAATATGCTGCTGTAGTTGATACTTGTTGGTTTAAAGAAGATCACAGGATTAGTCAAGGGTAATAATAATAATAACAACAACAACAATATAAATGAATGTAATAATAATTATTAAAAATTTTTTTTATAGATATCCGAGAATTCTTCCATTTTCACAAGCATATCCATGTTGTTGTTTGGATATCAAAAGTTTTATTAATCAATATTATGAATTTGCTGAAGGTGATGCAAGACGATATAGCTATGTTGATGATATTGCAAAACAGGTATTTATTTCTCAAAATAGATAAATAAATTTATATAAATAATTGATTTGGGAAAAAAACTTAAATTATTTAATTTTTTGAAGACATTAGATATTTTATTAATAGAACATCTTAATCAAGTTTTGTATGATAAATTGCAAAGCACAAATATGTCACAGATTGTTCAAATTATTATTAATCTTGAATATTTAGAATATGCTTGTGTAGAGATTGAAAAGTTATTGAAATCCAAAAGGTAAACTTTCATACTTTATATACATAAAAGTAAATGTTTATTAAAAAAAATTTTTAAAAAAAAGATCATCCCATCGAGGAGGAAAAATTAAATTGAATGCATTAGAACATTTTCGTGAGACTCGAAAAAAAGCTGAAAAACGTATTTATGAGCTTGTGAATTTCAAGATTGATGATTTTTTAGAAATAGCCGATTATGACTGGTATATAATTATTATAAAATGATGTTATTTTTTAATTTATTATTCTTTAATTTTGTTTTTTTTTTAAAAAACCCAGGGAAACTGATTCAATTCAATCACATCCTAGTTCATTTCTTCAAGGTAACTTTAAATTAAATAATCATTCATTCATTCATTCATTCATTCATTATTTCTAAAAAATTTATTATTTGATATTGTATATAAATGTAAATAGATATGATTGGATTTTTAGGGGCAGTTATTAGTTCAACATTATATAATCTTCCAATGACAATTAAAATATTCATATATCTGGTTGCATTAAGTCATTTATCAACTTCTTTACGTGTATGTGTTATCATTTTTAATATAAATAAATCCTACATCATATTATATTATTAACTTTATTTTTTTGATTGGTAGAATTTAATTTTAAGTCCTGATGTTAAAAGAATTAATTCAAATGCTATAGCAAATTTTGATGTTGATGTTAATTTTTTAGAGCAGTTTGCTCAAAGTCTTGAAGATCCACAAATAGCTGATGCATTCATAGAATTAAGACAAGTATGATCTTTTTCAAATAAAAAGTTTCTACTATAAAGATTTAATATTTAATGTTAATTAATTATAAATAAATAAATTTGTTTATTTATTTAGATTGTTACCTTACTTCAATCTGAAAATATAGAAGAATATTTAAATCCTTCTACAAGGAACAAAAAATATTCTGGATTAAAACCATCTGACGTTATAAACTTATTTGAAAAGTAATGATTTTTCATATTAAATAATCAATAATAATTTCCTAAATAGTAACTTCTTTTATCTTAATTTTTCTCCAATAATAATAATAATAAAGGTGGTTACGTGATCAACCGTCATTATCAATGACACCAGAAGAACGTGCTAGAAAACGTGCTATGGAAGGTGTAGTAAGATCATTAAGAGCATCAATGTAACAATACAATGCATGCACAAAAACATACAAATTTATTTAAATTATTTAATTTATATATATACACACACACAGTCAAAGCTTGTTAAAATGTATATTAGATAAATTCATAACTGCTAAATCCATAAATTTTCAGGAATCAATACCAGTTATATTAGAATTCTATTCAATAATTTCATAACCATAATAAAATTGATAAAGTCATAACTCTCTTACTACTTGTGTGCAATCTCACCGGGACCATGACGTTGTAAAACTTTACACGATATCTAACATGTGATTTATCATCAAACAATTCCCAAGTGCACACCCCCCTTGGGAATGAGTGAAACAAAGCATCTCATTGATTGCACGTGGCTCCAACGAAAAAATAACAAGATTGATTTATTACTGTATATTAACAAGTTAATAAGAAACGTTTTTTTGGAATGGTGATACATTCATACAGGCTTCCATTATTTTATATATTAGTAATGTATTATTAATTTTTTAATTCACAATTTATCTAACAATAAAGTTAGATTTGTAATTTAAGGTTGAAGGTTGATAATGCCATCACTTACTTGTTGGCTTTCATTCATTAATTCATTCGCCTAAGCTCAAGACCCTGTAAAAAAGCTTGGACATATCAAATATTTATATGTGATTAATAAAACGTAAAAATAAGAGAAGTATTACTATACTTTATTATTGATTTGTCAATTATATATAAAAGCACTTATTAATTATTCTGAAATAGTAAAATATAGATCATGGAAAAAGTAAAAATA